TTCCAATATAGTGTCTTCCCTCTGCATCAGAATCCCAGAAGGGTATTCTCTGGATGGCAAGATAACCAGAATGCAGTCTAGATCAAGGTTTATCTGATCTACATGAGCATCCAATATTCTGTTTTCTACCCATTGTAGCTCTTTTTCTGACTCAGCAGATAATATTCGTGGACTGTTTAAGTCCTTATCACCTTTTAGTGCCATTTTTAAATGCTTTAAGTGATGTCCTTCCACACCAATAATCCTCTGTAATTGAGAAATTTCTCCTAGTAGCTACTGAGTTTGATAACGGTCCCTTCTAATTTGTACCCTTTGAGGTCTGATTCTTTGTAAGTCTATCATATATCCTAAATAGTTAATAGAATCTTTGTATCTTTTCTGGGGCAATTTGTAAACCCCATCTAGGCAGGAACTCCTTCACCATTTTAAACATACATTCCAAAGTTTCCTCACTAGAATCTGCTAGAAGAATATTATCAATATAATGATAAACAAGAGATTGTGCACTTCATGCCTGAATCATGAATTTCATTTTAACACAGGAAAAGACATACAAACACACTCAAATGCAAACACACATGGGCACGAGAGAAACAGAGACAGAGATACAAACTCACTGAGAGAGACAGACACACTGTATTTCTAAAGACACAGATATACAGAGACACAGAAATGCAGAGAACACAGGATTGCTTATGTACAGGAAGGGTATTGTGAACAGTAATTCAATATCCTGTTAGAAATGTGTCAAAATAAGTATGTTTTCTCTCAGTGTGCAATAAATGTGATATTCTAAGCACCCCTTGCTGACTTGGGCCTGAATTGGTAAAGTGAGGTGTCAGAAAAGTGAGTTTGATAGTGGTGTCTTTGCATTCTAAATGAGATTCCCTCTACAAAACCAAGACAGTCTCAAGCAACCACTAACCTAATGTCAACTCCTTCAAATATGACCTCCTAACCAAGGATCATATTCTGAAGCAGGAAATACTGGTGTCCTTTTGTAAATCCTATTCAGGACATAAAAGCAATCTGCAGTGGCAGCCTGGAATACTCAGGGAGTGTGAGTGGATCAAGGGGAGCAGTTATTTGAGATGAGGATGTTTTGCTTGAA